GGAACTAGGTATATTAGTTTTGGGCCAGAGTATGATATAAATCTCTGAGTGCAAGTTGCATTGCATTACCTCTAGATTATGTAACAAGCTTTTGCTGACGCCACTCCATATTATAATGCAATATCTCAGAACAGATATATCGTTGTTAGTAGCTTTTCATTATTGAGATTTCTTAGTTGGTAGAATTTATAAGATAATTTACTAAGTCTTCTAATGGTCTGGTCTACATGTTCGTCCCATCGTAGATGTTGGTCTATATATACACCAATATATTTCATGTTGTTTAGACCTAGTAATTTCCCTTGGGGGACGCCCATGGTTATAGGTAGTGGATAACTATAAATATTGTTGATTTTAACAATCTGATTTCCACAAGATAAGTAATTTTTAAAAAGCTTCAATAAATTCTAAACGCCTTAGTAAGATATGATGATTGACAGTGTCAAAGGCTTTCGACAAATCTAAAAAGACTGTTAGGCACTTTTTGTCAATATTGAAATTATTCCATATACTATAAACCAATAGAAAGACATCATTCGCTGTTGACATATGTTCTCTGAATCCAAACTGGCATTCATTTAAGATATTATTCTTGTCTAGATATTGAACAAGCATTTTTCGAAAACTTTTGCGAAATTGTTTGTGATAGTTATTGGCCGATAATTTGTGGCAAGTTTCTTGATGCCAGATTTGAATAGTGGGATAAAAGCAATAGGTACATATCCTTGTATGAAACATAAGTTAATAATATGACACAATGGAGTCAGAAAGAAGCGATTATATTTTTTAATAAATTGAACTGATACACCATCAGAGCCCTGCGGAACTCCCGAAGTAGCGGTGAATTCGAAGGAAGATATGTTGTTGAACTGTACGAACTGTATTTTGTTGGATAGATAGCAGTGTAACAAATCAAGTGTTTGTGAAACCGAATGCTTTCAATTTCAGGATCAAAACCCCATGGTTAACTCTGTTGAATGCCTTGGCCAAGTCAGTTTATATAACGTCTATTGGATAGCCTCTCTGTAACTCGGAAACAAATGACGTTTGTTATTATGTTATGAAAAAATTGAAATACTTTTGGTGTGATATAATAACAACTATTTTCAAAAGTATTCATCTGACAGAAAACAGTGAGAAATAATTGGTATTCAGATTCCAACTTCAAAATCGTCGAAAGAGGCGTGCCACAAGGTAGCATTTTGGAACCCCTACTATTTTCGTTGTACATAGTTGATTTTCATTCATATCTGAGTGATGAAAGTTAGAATCCAACGAATCAACGTGAAAATTTGAGCATTTCCATTGACAATAACCTGAGGTTGGAAAAGCATATTGCTCGTTTAGTGCAAGAGTCTTATTCTAAGTTGAAGTTGCTATATATGCATAAGAATGTACTTGACAAAAACAATCATGAGTCCTAAACTCACTAGCTTCAAATTCTTAAAAAGTTATGATGCGAAGTAACTGGTCATTGGATCGAATCCGAGTGCAGAAACAAGAATTTCAAATATGGATGTGCTAAGAATCGCACAGTTGAATGTAGACCTCTTTAATCCTTTCCTCGCACAATTTTCAACTTTTGAGGTGAGATTGTATAATGGCAAAATCCATTTTAAGCCCAGCCCAATCATTTACTGAATAATGAACAGATACTATAAGTTTTAGCTGAGCTTGAAGTAATATATTATAATCAACAAAATGGCAAGAATGCGAGAAATTTCTTTGCGTGAAATTTTCTCATATGCTTCAATTGATCAATGTTTGAATCCTCAAGGTGACGAAATTCTCTAGAGATGCCTCTCCATAAAAAACCGTTCAACAATTCAATGGGAAATTAACATTTTACAACCTAGTTTGTGTTTATGGCATCATGATTTTCACAATTCCTACGTGTAACAATATAAAGATGCCATAAATGCATGATTAAGTATTAAAAATGTTTCACAATATCGTTTTATGCATTACGACCGACAGTGAAAATTTATGTTTTTTACAATATTACATTATCCATATTCATTGAATTTGTCTGATGAATTGTTGAAATTCTCTAAATGATATTCAATGTGCAGAATGAAGATTTTGTACATGGAAAATATTGCGACCGTGGTATTGAAGCTGTTTTGAAAACGCGATGAAAACAAGTTTTAAGCTTTTGGACTTTTGATAACAATCAATTTTTCACCAGACAATTATGAATTGTACGGGATTCGTCATAACGCGACTGCAACAAAAAAGTCCATGTTAAATATACACACACATTTTATCTACAGGGTGCTTCAAATCTGATCCTCACCATTGGGATCTCGAAAACTATGAGAGATACGAAGATGATTAAATTGGGACAAAGTTCCGCATTTACTTGACAAACAATACGCCATTGAGACGTTTCGTTTCCGGCCACCATCATCAACTTTATTTTTTCTTATGGGCGCCACAATGGATTCTTTCTGTTTTGAATAGAAACAGATTTTACCTTGTCAATGATTTTTCATAAGTTATCATTATTTTTCGAAAAATTGGAGATATTGAAAAAAATAATTCCTATCATAATAGGCTTTGATTTTGATGTTTCTGAAATTTCAGAACATTTTTTCAGTGGCATATTATTAGTCAGGTAAATGCTCAGGTAAATGCCCCAAGTTAACCATCTTCGTATCTCTCATAGTTTCCGAGATCCCAATGGTGAGGAGCCAATTTGAAACACCCTGTATATGGGTACAATTAAATTTTGTTATAAGTTTATTCGACGTAGTAGAACCTTCATTTCTTAAAAGTTTTTTTGGTTTTTGTAGCAGTCAACAACTGTAAGTCTCAGCTACGGTCGGTCACGTCTGGAGTCCCGCAGGGTTCTCAACTTGGACCGCACCGTTTCAATATTTTCTTGAACGACATCACTAAGGGTTTAACACAGACGACTGAAAAATAAACAATGCAGTTTCGTGTCCAGGAGATTACATTGCTTTGGATGTTGCTCATGACAATTTTTCTACGTATTGCATGACCAAAAAATTACACCTGAATTCTGAAAAATGTAATGAGATCATTTGTACCAGAAGCAATTCACCTCCAACCTAGCAATAAACGGGAAAACGATAACGTAGGTCAGTTCTGTGAAAGACCCAGGGGTCACTTTGAATACTAAATTAGCATTTGATGATCTGGGTTTTGATACGTATAAGTATCAGTAATATGAACCAAAATATAATTGAAAATATTCAATGAAAGTTCACCAACACTCTGATTTACATATTTTCATATGAATGGAATTAAAGATTTTATAAATTAGAACACATTGGGCTTTGAAAAAAATTCTTTGATATCTGTTTAGTCTACAAATTGTTGATTCACCGTATTTCTTAACTTATTTTATTCTGAACTGTACACCATATACCTACAATAAGAAATAACATACTTCTAGTTATAGTCAGTAGTAGTACAAATTTTCTTCTTAACTGTCCACTTTACAGATACGTTAGTTAGTTAGTTAGTTCCAATGTTGGTGGTAATCTAGATCTGGACATATTTCCCACCAAAATTTTGACTTTTCAAAAAAAGATTGAAGAACGTTATATAACACCTGATTTTTCCCCTCACTTCTCTCCAGCTTAGCCTCTCGGTTATTTCTTTTTCAGTTAATATCTTACTGAATCTGAATTTGAATTTTTCTATCTAGTAACCAAATTGTAAGTATTTCATCAGCTACAGACATAATGATTTGTATATCCCGTTCGCACATTTTACAAATCACTGTCCGAAAATTGAACAAATTGAGTGTCTGCCTCATCCACCTTACTGCCCAGACCTCGTGCCAACCGACTATCATCTTTTCAAGCATTTCGATAAATTCCACACCGGTAGAACCTTCACCAATCACGACCAGGCAAAAACGGCCTTCGTCGACTTCCTTGAATCCCGGGCTCCCAATGTTTATACTGACGGAATTATTCGACTCATTGAATTGGTGAATTGGATAACATTTCACTGAGACATTACAGTTCAAAGTAAACTCATAAAAACTGACAAAACTTTTGAAACAACTTAATACTTGAAAAAAAATCAAATTTCGACGGGTGATGATTTTGTGTTCGGAATTAACTGCTATAAAATTGCTACTCGTTGCCATTGGTTGCAAATATAAAAAAGGAAGGCAGTGTTGAAACTCAAAGGGTTTTAGTTATGAGAAATGCCTACAAAAAAGTGTAGGATACGTTTCTGTGCTTTGATAATAAGCGTCATGACATACTTTAGTGGCTTACAAATCAAATAACGACTGAACAAATTCATTAAAAAGATCGGTTAGATCAGGAGTATATAAGTTCAGTTATTCTTCCTTGCCTAAAACTTTATATTGGCCAAACGAAGAGAGGATTCACCCAGAGAATGAAAGAACACAGGTTTGAAACTCAACCACTTGGAATGCTTGGAAATCGATAGATTCAAGAATTCTGAATTGAATACTGCCCCTCTTTCAAATATGTTTTTCAATGTGAAAATCACTAATTAGTTAATTACATGTTTGATGAGTTGGTTATATGTTCTTTCATGATGTTTCACATCGCAATTAGTAAACTCAGGTACATTAGTAGTAGTCAATAGGTAGATAGAAGGTCTTATGATTCAAATTGTTTTATTATTTGAAGCATCAGTTAGGTAGATTGCTTCAAGATAAATTGAACAAAATCCAAATCTGTTCATTTTGTATGACCTTAAACTCATGATTCGAAAGCTCAGTTGTGTTTTTTCACTTACCTGCAAATATCTCCAGATCTCTTCAGGTCCTTTAAGTTGTCAGGAAAATTCATATAACACACATAAAAATCACTCATGCTGATACATTATAAACATTGTTTTTTCCTTGAAATATTATTGATATAATCTCATTGTGGTAGTGATAAAACTTCGAAAACAGTTTCAAAATCTCTTTGAGATCCTTGATTTTTTAAACTATATCGATGACTAGTGATGGCTATCGTTGATCAAGAAATGAAATGTCTGAATAAAAGTTTGTTATCATATATATTTTACACATTTAGAAATATTCTTTCATTTAATAATTATAATTTTTCCTTCTAAATTAAGACAGTTTTCGATTAGAACTACTTTACAAATAAGGTACATCATCTGTCTCAACACACACCTTACAATCTTCAACTAGTGGTTTTATTTATAATTATATCATACAGGAATCACTAAAAACTTTTTCAAGTTTGCCAACGTGGCAAGATCAAAGCTTTTTACAAAATTTCCTTCTCCAGCAAACTATTTTACAATATATAACAAAACGCATCGGCGATATGACACCCTTGGCGAATCAACTTCCATCCAAAAACGATGTGTATAAATTATTTTCATAAGTGTTTCTCCAAGCTTGGTGCTGTATCAGCAAATGTATCAAAAATCACCTCCACAAAACATCGTCATCAACTGTTTGTTGTTCTGTAACTCCAACAGAAAAGTAGTTGTTATTTTTAGTAAATGTTTTGTAGAGGTAACTAAACACCTTTTAATCACAACTAAACTTTTGTAGCTCCAACAAAACCAGTTAGTACGTATCTCTATTTTACATGTTCTCTTTTCCAGGGTTGGACTGATTATAAACCAGCAAGGTACTTTCCAACACACCAAAAATATTTGAAAGTTATTTACAAAGATGTGTCCAATTTCGATACCTTACTGATTTATACTCTCACAAGCAATCAGAAATTATATTGCACCATATTCCGTCAACTCTAGCAAAATTTCCAGTTTCGTAGAAAAAGTGGAAATTTTGCGTCTCATCTTGAGATCTAAACACCAGTTTTATACAGGGGATGTGAATTCAAAACAATTAACTTATCAACAATAAAAATGTAACATATACACATATTCACTGGTCAATGTTCATCCTTGTTATAAGAGTTTTCCTTAGCTTTTCAATTAGTAACTAATCACTTTGTCTGTTTTGTTAAACCGCTGGCCATACCCTGAAACAAAAGAAAACGATTTTCAGAATAAACATCAAAACTATTGGCTACAAAAATAACACTCAGTTTTGTGCTCACATTGTCATTCAACAAAATTCAACGTGTCCTGATTGAAACAGACTCTTAGTGGTGTAGAGATAGATAATGCTAGGTTGGCACAGTTTAGGTACAATAAAGCCGAGTTTTAGCACCGATTAACTACTGATGATGAAACTTGGATACACCATTATACAGTAGACTGTTTTAGAGATTGTCATGGAGTCATTTTGAAATTATCTTCAAAAAAACCATTACAGGAGCCTACTATGCATCATTACTTGACAAGCTTAAGGCAGAACTTGCCATGGCCATAGCAAAAACACATGAATTACGGTTTGAACTGCTTGACCATCCGCCTTACTCACCAGACCTAGCCCCAAGCGACTTTCTTTGTTTCCCCATCTGGAAATTGCGCTCGTAGGACAGAGATTTCCGTCAAATGAAGAGGCAATTACCTTCGTGAACGGCAGTGGCAATATGATTGTGTGATAGAAGTATTCTTTCACACACTTCTCAAGTCATGCCCTGATTTTGTATGTATCAACAATTGCATATGCAGGAAATTTTCTGTGAAAATTCCTGCACTGACGCCTGTCGGATATAATCCAACGCCGTTCGTGGTATTAGCCAGCGGAGTAGTTGTTTTCTGATAGGCGTCAGTCCATTCGACCTACCATAATAATGATAATAATAATAATATGATTTTATTTCCTTGAGACAGTACAGGTTGTATGGAAAAAGTCAAAGGAAGGTTTCACAAACTACACCTAAACGATTTGATCTCCACAAACTTTATTGAAAAAATATATCACAACAACTTTTTCAAGTGATTAATCACTTGAAAGTGATCACTTTCAAGTGATTAAGCGAATAGCAAACACCGCATAAAAAACATACAAATAATTAAAAGCAAATAAGTACATAAATAGATGAGAAAAACTGTGTAGGTATATAAACTTCTCAAGTCTTCGACGTAGAAATGCTCAAGTATTTTATGTAGGTTGAGACGTAGAATACGCCTAAAGAATTCCTGCTTGACTTTTGTAATCCAAATCTACTTGCCCTTCATAAAACAGCTGAATTAATTGTTGCTTCAGAAAAAGGGGTCTGGGTTTGGAACAGCAAGAGAAAAGGAAAACCATGCTCCGTAAAAAAGTTATAAGTTATGAATTTCCTCCGAAATATGTATTGTTTTATAGTTACTTGACGTAGAAACTTTCACAAATGAGAACAACCATCAACAATCTATCACAATACTTGTATATTTTCTACTTGTTAAGAATCAATCCATTTCTAGAGCAGTAATCTAGAATAATGGCAACTGCCATGTTAGCCGGTAATGACAGACATTCACAAGAAGTAGATGTGAGGGCAGATAAAGTATCGTCAACAATTTGAAACTGTACAATTATGTAGATCCATATTGAAGATGCCATTAACGAACATAAGGAAGAGAGTAGGACCGAGAACACTACCTTGGGGAACTTCTGCTGTAATTTCACGGGATTCACAACGAGAAGTTCTACAGTCTAGTGATTTGACTGAATACGATTCAACAAATATGATTCCACCCGGTAGTTACTCATGATCATTGTTATCAAATGCTCTAGTAAAGATCTAATAAAATTGTGTTTTCACAGTTGTCAACATTGGAAAGTACGTGATGAAATAATTAAAACGCGGCGTCTTATGTTGATAAACAACTAGAAAATCATACTGACAACTAGAAAGAGTTTCAATAAGTTTCTTCAAAGCTTTTTGAAAAGACTGGCAGCAACCTCTACAGTAATTGATTAGTTGTTTATTTCTCATGAATTGGCACAATTATTGCCTGCCTCAGACGAAGAAAAAACCAAACGGTAAAGGAAAGATCAACTTTTGGACCAACCATGTTACTGAATTACCTTTTTATTATTTTGTTACCCCTTGAAAACATTTCAGTTCAGTTCAGTAATGAATTAGTTGTTTATTTCTCATGAATTGGCACAATTATTGCCTGCTTCAGACGAAGAAAAATACAACGGTGAAGAAAAGATCAACTTTTGGACCAACCATGTTACTGAATTACCTTTTTATTATTTTGTTACCCCTTGAAAACATTTCAGTTCAGTTCAGTAATGAATTAGTTGTTTATTTCTCATGAATTGGCACAATTATTGCCTGCCTCAGACGGTGAAGGAAAGATCAACTTTTGGACCAACCATGTTACTGAATTACCTTTTTATTATTTTGTTACCCCTTGAAAACATTTCAGTTCAGTTCAGTAATGAATTAGTTGTTTATTTCTCATGAATTGGCACAATTATTGCCTGCCTCAGACGAAGAAAAAACCAAACGGTAAAGGAAAGATCAACTTTTGGACCAACCATGTTACTGAATTACCTTTTTATTATTTTGTTACCCCTTGAAAACATTTCAGTTCAGTAATGAATTAGTTGTTTATTTCTCATGAATTGGCACAATTATTGCCTGCCTCAGACGAAGAAAAAACCAAACGGTAAAGGAAAGATCAACTTTTGGACCAACTATGTTAATGAATTACCTTTTTATTATTCTGTTACCCCTTGAAAACATTTCATAATCATAGAGGAAAAACCTATATATTCTGTAGCATAGGCTCCGTCACAGAATCACGTTTCTGTGGCCTATATTCTGTATTCAGTGTCACTTTTGGCGGTAAATTCAAATTATTAGAAACACATCGGACACTTAATTCCGACTGAGAAATTATGAAACTAGCTTCATTTTATCTTGTTCACGTTCATTAACAACTCGACAAATTTTTCAGTTGATAACCATCTTCAAGATTGTCATCTGTCAATGAGTTCATTGTTCCTGTTCCGTCCTCTTTTGTAACGTATTCTGTAGTTCTGTGGTAAAAGAACAGAGAAATTTGTTCTGTGACGGTTTCGTTCATTCTTTAATCCAATATGTGATAAACATATTTGCTTTCTGGCCATTTGAGGAACGAAGAAGTCAATTTAAATTTTGTGGTTCATAATTAATGGATATTGAAGAAAACGTATTACGTTCCGTGATCTGTCCACAAAAGAAAGCGGCTCATTTATCTATCCTTATTTTCCGCAATGTGGTGTTTATTACCTTTCTCTATCAAATTAGCCAGGACAGATTAGCCAGCGACACCCGCCGATAATGTCCTCTCCAATAAGGCACCATATTTACATTCATCCCAGTCGTCTACGCGGCGAGTCTTCTTCCAATTAGCGGCAATCAGGCCAAAAAAAGAAGCTCCGATAAATTTCGCTGAATTCAGCAAAAAAAAAACACTCGTCGCCTAGACAAATTGCCTATTAGCGAATCTAATAGAGGTAATGAGCTGTTAGGTTTATTTAAAAACGATCGACAATTAGCGAAAGGAGGAAAAAATACAGCGGTGCCTTGGAAAGCGGCTTGACGAATGCGTTTTTAAATAGACCTTTGGATAATTATGCAAAGTTCATAAAAATCCAAACGATCCGTTTCAGTGCGTTGACGCGAATCTGACGTTAATTATTGGTTCGGAGTAACGTTTCTAGGATAAGTTCCTCCGGAGTTCCTGCCGTTGCACTGCCTCGGACGAACGTTCAACTTTTACTTGTACGGGGTGTTGCACGTGTACAGCATTCATGCGGATATTTTTTGCTGGCATATCCGATTATGTTTATGCTGTTTAGGTGCTCACATCCCTCAAAGCTCTATCTTGGTCAATCTCGAAGACCTCCTGAGCAGTCAATACTATTGAGATGAAACAACGACTTACCATCAATGAATATCTAAAAGTGTAGCGGAACCTTGTGGAATAGCCAGGACTGAGCTGAATTTCACGAAAAGGTAGCAGGTTTTGCAGGAAAGTTATTCAGTTTCAGAAGAAACAGTCTAAAAGGCTCTTGAACACTGTACGACAGAAAAAATTGTCACATCGAAGACCTTCTCAAGGTTCAGCAGAGTCTTGAGGAAGCTGTACTGACATTGCTAGAATTGTGTTGTTGTTTTTTTAGAAAGAGTATAACAGAATTTACAGGAACATCAGCCTACCAGAGGACTTGGCCTACCAAGTAAACAATTCTCGATACTAGAGAGTCTTACATGAAAGATTATTTTGCCTGACCGAAATACCTTTAGTTTGTCTGACTCCATTTTCTGGAGACGTCACCAATCAGGTCTCAATCATCTAAAAGTTTCTAGAATCCTTTTTTCCTTATATACTTATATACAAAACAGTATTCTCTGCTATTCGTATCATCAACCGAAATGTCAACTTTTGATGCCTTATAAAGCTCAGGCCAGACCTCTTTTGGGGTAGGAGCTCCGTCCCTAAGCATACCCTGAAACTGCTGGATAAGAACCATCCACCTTTTTGGAGACACTTGCAACCTTGATAGTCTGGAGCAGGGGTCTCCAAACTACGGCCCGCGGGCCAAATCCGGCCCGCCAGTGTCATCAATCCGGCCCGCGACAGCCAATGATTTACTGTCATCAATCTGGCCCGCGACAGCCAATGATTACCTAATTGTTGTTACTATTGCTGTGATAAGTTGAAGAAGAAAACACAGAATGATAATTACTCGGTTTTATTTACTTGCAAGGTAAAACTTAACGACAGAAATGATGACAAAGAAAACTTAACTT